AAGTAATCGGCTAAGAGATAATTCTCTTGAAGTCCTAGCCTAGGACTGTGTGGAGAAATTTCGCCGAGGTAAATCTTGCTTTTTCAGGGTAATTTTCGACGGTTTTGTATTCATTTTATTTCATGAATTTAAATGGTATTTCCATCCTGTTTTTGTACTATTTTTATGCTCTTTCGACCGATTTTTATACTGTTTTCAGACAACTCTAAGGCTATGTTCTTACAATTTTATACTGTTTTTGCATTTTTGCATCCTATTTTTGATGTATTTAATTCATAATATATGTGTGCTATTGCTTTTCTTCTTCTGTGGTATTTTAATACTGTTTTCAAAGTATTTTTATTGTATTTGCAAATACGAGTATTTTACTAAATTTCGAAACCGATTAAACAGCTATTAAAATATATTTTGAAGCATAACATTTTAATAGCGTTTTAAACAGGTTAAAACACCTTTAAAATCAGTCTAAAAATATATCAAAAATATATTTTTGTACCTATTTTAAACCTGTTTTTTTCAAAATACGTTTAAAATTGCCATTAAAAATAGTTTTAAAATAGTATAGTAAATTAAAACATGTTTTTGAAACTGTTTTTATCCTGTTTTTATTCCGATTTATAAGGTATTTAAAAACTGTTTTTGACCTGTTTTGAGCCTTGCAAAAGCCCTGGAATTTTTTATATATTTTAAAAGCATTTTAAAATACTTTAAAAATTCTTTTTTAATAGCGTTTTAAACAGGTTAAAACACCTTTAAAAGCAGTCGAAAAATACATTAAAAATACACTTTTTAACCTATTTAAAACCTATTTCACAAAACAGGTTAAAAACAGTTTTCAAAAATAGGTTAAAAATACATTCAAAACAGTGTTGGATTTGGTAAGGGTGGTTATCTGTTGCCCTGATATCGGCGCCCAAGTATTTGGAAAGTACTCACCATTTGGTATTCTTTTATCGGAACAGTTGCATTTGAACGGGTTACTTTTTATCGTTAACTCCCGATATGTGGTTGTCCAAATTTGACTGACAACTGATTAGCTAGAGACCATTGCTTCGACCTTAATCAGCATTCATCATTCATCGCAATTATTTATAATGAATGGTAAACTGTTTTTTTACCTCTGTTCCTATCACGTTTGTAGTAAAATCTGTCTGGATCTGAAATGAAATCCTCAGGTCTGGCCTCCTTAGTTCTGTTACTAAACTCGCACTTGAGGAGAGAGATCACCCAGTTAAAGCTTTGGCATCGATTGTCTTCGCGACAAACTTGCACGCATGTGTGTGGGAGTTCTGCCAACATCGTGTTGTAGATATGTCCCCGTAACATCCAGCCGAAGATGGATATCTCGGATCCACATCGCTGAGTTACTGTTTTGTAGAGTAGCTGACCCAACACAAAAAGAACTGACATACGAAAGAGCTGCCTCATTGTCATACCCTTGAAAAGACAATTTGGGGCTAAATGATTTATTACACTGAATTTAATTAATATGATTTAACATATACATCTTTATATTTTTCAGGTCGTTTTGATTCACTTATTCTTGCCGTTTAAACAATATTACCCGTGGCGGATAATACAAGTGAACCAACAATAAACTGTTTTCAGACTACTCAGCAATTTTTGATAAATTTTAAAATAACCTTTTATACAAAAGCATCCATTAATAGAAATGGTATAGACCATTTCTAAGTTCGTAAAACTCTCACTTTCAAAATGTGGCTAAGTGCAAAACCTTTCTTGTGAAAATGAGTTTTATTTTGTGAAAGACCGAAACCCAATTGATGGGGACTAGCTCAGCGGGTCGGCTTCACAAAAGACACAGTCACGTTCTCTGTTGGTTCAGCACAATGTATTTTCGAAACTTTAACTTTGTTTGGCAAGGCAACTTATAATCTCACACTAGTTTGTTCTATCTCTCTCTTAACCCTTTAACTTAACTTAACCCTTTTTTTCTTGTCGCTGAACGGGAACTTAGATCGATTTTAAAAAGAGTTTTCGTAACTACAATAGTAGTAACTTGAGTTATGTTCACTTTTCCATTACCGTCAATCAATCCGCAACATCAGTTAAAAGAAACTTCCTGTAAGGGCCAATATTTTCCGTCTCCGGCAACAAATATTAAGTACTAAAACTTTCTGTTTTTAGTCTTTTCCTCGCTTCTTACATCTTTCAAATAATGATAATAATAAATTATTTTCGCTCTTCAAAGCTAAGAACTAATCGGTACAAAGCATTCCAGAATAATCTTTTCAAAATATCCCGGTTATTTATTTATTTATTTTTTATTCTATCTTAAAATCCTCCTAATAGGACCTTAACTCTGAAAGATTTTAGAAGAGTGTTTTACAGCAAATGAGACGATTGGTAAGCGAGTAAAAATATATCTCCAACCACTCAGTAAAATCATTTCAGACCTCGTCCTCGCGTATCCGGATATTTTTTGAAAAACAGACAGTTTTTCCCGTTTCTGCTCCACACGTAGACTAGTATTCGAATCGTTTTTGCCCGTCGAAGGGAAAACGCTAAAACGAAATACGGTATCATCCCTTTTAGGGCATGCGCTGTATGATTTGTGATAAGAATACGCCGGCGTTTTCAGAAAACTTCACACTTCTGGTGCCCTAAAAAGCCCTTGACGTGTAGGGGGAAGGCTAAAACGAGAAAATCTCTGCGGGCTCCAGCAATACAATTTTTTTTGTGGTAACTTAATATAACCTTTCGCGTACAATTAATGGTCACTAATCGAATTTGAAAAATATGTTCGTAACTGCAAAAAAAAAGTGCCAAAAGTCGAAAAAACAAAAACAAAAAAACATTTCGAAAACGTAAACGGTACAAGACAATCTCCTCAAGGTACTACTAAAAGGCTATTAATAATTCCGTTTAGCCAACTTAATTTTACCTTTCAAACACTTAATAATTTTCACCAAAAGCCGGAACCAAATGAAGAAAGTTGGAGTTTTCTGTCCTTTGAAGGGTTAAACAGTAACCCCTTAGATCCGTTCACGCTATTAACTAAACAATGATCTTTTAAAACCGAGAAAAAATTATCTTACCAATCAATTTCTCTTGTTTCTGCTAGACCATATTCTGTTGCTTCGATCCCACAAAACCGGCTAATTAACAGAAACTATCTTGCGTGAATGACAAGCACTTAAATTCACTCTCTTACGGCGGATGTTTCATTATTTGTCTTTGAAAACTTCAAAGTATTGATTAAGGATATAATGTCACCTGTCAACTTCAATTCGTTTTGAGAGGGAGCATTTTGGTTATTAATTATTGATTTTTTTATAATTCCTTTTGCATTCTTATCTGAGTTGTTCCCAACAAAATTTGAAGTTATTCGGCACGCAATATGCCTATAATCATTGTGAGCACAATGGGCGGGCAATACAAGCAAACGTTTAATCCTATCCCTAACTTGTGAGCAAACATACCAATTTAAGGCTTCGTTATCCTTGTGCTTTTTGTTATTCGTTTTGACGGTTGCCTTCTTTACCGCAGAAACAAAAGAAAAATAACAAATAGGGACGTGTCCAAAAACAAGTTATTCCATATTCAAAGCCGTGTTTTCACTAAAGGAAGAATTGCTTGCAAATTAAATGCGATATATTATACTGAAAGCACTATTATAATGGTATAATTATATTGTTTGCACTTATACAATTAGCTTTAAAGCTGTTTTGGATATCACGCAACCAGCGTTGTCAAAACTGTTTCCTGCATCTTTTATATTTATTAATGACCCTATTTTTGCTCCCCAAAACTAAGAACTTCGGTACTAAGAAACAAATTAAATTGGTAAACGTCCACACGTAGCCTATTTGAATCGTTTACGCCCTTCGACGGAAAAACGCTAATTAACGAAATACGATGTCATCCCTTTTAGAGCATGCGCTGGATCATTTATGATAAGAATAAGCCAGCGTTTTCAGAAAATTTTTCACTGGGGGCCATTTTCGAAAACCTGCGTTTTGGGTGCCTGAAAACGCCTTTGACGTGTAAAGGGAAAGCTAAAACGAGAATATCTCTGTATCTGGCTCCAGCAACACAATTTTTTTTTTTTTTGTGGTAACTTAATTTAACCTTTCGTTTAACGGTCACAAATCGAATTTGTAAAATATACATGATCGTAACTGCCAAAAAACGGCCAAATTCATAGATATATTCAATGCTTTTTCATTATCGTGTAACAATCGTCGAGAATAATCAAAAGCGATATGACATTAATTAACAGCAAAACATAAGCCTTAAGGCCTAGGTTAAGTAAAAAACCACGTAAAAAGTTAAACAATATATAAACTTATAAAACAAAAATAATAATAAAATCTTATACATACTGTTAGTGGGCAGAAATGTTTTGTAAGGCATTGTTAAATTTTTTCAACAAATTAGACTTTGAGTGTTTAAAACGAAAAAACTTGAAACATTTCTCTTAAAAATGAAAACTTTAAACGGTACCGCTAAAAGTTCATTAATATTTCAGTTTACGCTAAGTTAATGGTACCTTTTAAAAACTAAAAATAATTTTCACCAAACGCTGGAACCCAACGCAGAAAGAGTATTCTGTCCTTTCAAAGATATAAAAAACACCCTCAGATCCCTTCATGCAAAACTAAACAATTTTCTTTCAAAACCGTGAAAAAACTTTGTCTTTTCTAAACCCTATTCATTTGCTTCGATGCCAACCATCTTGCGTGAATGACAGGCACTTAAATTCAAAATCTTACGGTAGATATTCCACTTTCTCTCTTTTATTGAAAACTTCAAAGTATTGACTAAGGATATAATATCACCTGTCAAACTTCAATTTGTTTTGAGAAGGAGCATTTGGTTCTTTTATCGCTTTTTTTTTACAATTCCTTTTGCATTCTTATCTCAGTCTGAGTTTTTTCCAAAAAAAGTTGATTTTATTCGGCATGCAATATGCCTATAGTCATTGTGAGTACAATGGGCAGGCAATACAAGCAAACAATTGTAACCTTTGTCGGTCGGCTCAGCCTTCTTCCCGGTTCTCTCTCCAATTTGAAACTTGACATTTAGGTACTGCTTTTGCTTATCAGTAAATTTCGTGCGACGTGACGGTGGCGATTTCAGTGCCCATCCCATACTAAGAGTAACTAGGGTTGCTATTGAAGCTACTTCCCTCTACCACCACTGGAATTTTGCTTGCGCCATTATTATTAAGTCCAGTTTTATTTAGTTAGCCTGCGTGGCAGGCGTTTGAAAGGGATGGAAAAGGGAGTTTTAGGCGAAAGCCCACGCAAATATGGCCTTGACATAGACTGTTTCGTACTTTAGCTAGTTTACGCTTGTCTTTTCCACAGTCTAAGTGTTGACAACCGATGGATGCCGCATAAAAGACTTGACGCATCCACGGCAAAAAATCTCCTATTTTCTGGTGATTTTACCAGACGGTTAATGTATTGAGAAAATGCCAGGTTCACAATCCGTTTTCTCATTTCGGAATTCGCAAGGGAAACTCGTCGTTCACAATCCGTTAACACCAGGAAAAATTTGCTATTTACTTGACGTTTTCCAGCACAGGGAAAACGTGGTTGAACAGTACACTTTCTCTCGTTAAGCGGACATTTTACCAAACGGTTAATGTAAGGAAAATATCGCGTTCGTGACTCGTTTTCCCTCTTCGGAAAAGACAAGGACAACTAAGTAGCATTCACCATCACTTAACAGAGGGAATCCAGCACATGGAAAACGGGTTGAACAGCTCGTTTTCTCTCGTTAACCGGAAACTTTACCAAACGGTTAATGTCCTGAAAATATCACGTTCCTGAATCCTTTTCCGACTTCGAGTAACACAAGGAAAACTCCCGAGAAAACTCAACATTCATCGGCGGTAACACCAGGAAAACATGCCGTTCATTTCACGTTTTCAAGCACCTGGCAAACGCGATTCAACATAGACTGCAAAACAGTCGGTTTTTCCTCAAAATAAGCAAAAAAATCGGCAAAGCGTGGCGTAAGAGCTCATTAATATTCCAGACTTTTGTTTGACTGCTCGCGCGTAGTTGAATAACCAAAAATACGGACTGTTTTGCAGTCTATGGATCCACTAGCACTGCAGAGATATGATAATGCAGTTGCTCAGACTGGTGCACCATTACAAAACTGTTTTGGATTTATGGACGGCACCGCCAGACCGATTGCCCAAGGCCTGACACCAATCAATGAATTGTTGGTAACGGGCATTAGAGTCCATACGATCAAATTTCAATCTATTTCTTTTCTATTTTCTCTTTTTTGTTTACGGGCATTTTTATACGATCACCCAACTTCTTTTTCTGTAACTTCTGATACGATCGCAATCGAAAATGGGAAAATCCCTACACGCCTCTTTCGGGTTTTGACTTCCAAACGACTGGAACAAATCAAATCAGTGAAAAATAAACATTGCTGTGAGTTTTAGCTTTCCAAAGCTGATTCAGACGTTCGCATTAAAAAAAATCCTACAAAAAATCGACAGTGCATTTTTTGGGAAAAAAAAACTGTTGGTTTAATAAGAAAGCCATTTTCATAAATGAAGCTTTAATTTGATATAGGCCAGTTTAGGTATCTGCATCTGTATCCGAATGCGCTACATTACTTGCTCGTGAGACACCCCCAATCGGGTAACTCGCTTAAAGACATGCTGTTACATCTTATCATGGTGACTGCCTGCTGCTGCTATTTTTCGAAGCTCCTTCATCATCTATTTTCATTTTTTTTTTTTTTTATCCAATGTTTTCCTTTGATTGGCCAGCATTGAGTCGTATTATGCATACTAATAGAACAAGTAAGTTTGAACCAAGACTAGATATTGTGCCACTGACAACAGATGCATAACACAACGTACAACTGGCACACGAGAATAAACATGGACTTCACTTCAGACGAAAAATTCAGTGGTGGTTAAAGGTAATTTGCCAAAGCGGACGAGGTTAAATAGTGCGAACCAGTAAATGCTGAAAATAAAAACTTTTTTTTCTTGGGAGACTTGGTTTAAGCACCCTGCGAACAGAGGCCCTTCGATCTTCCTATATAATTAAGGAAGATCGAAGGGCTCTGCTGGCAGGGTATGGTTTAAGAATTTCTGCTGACACAATAAAGTTTACTTCTGCTTTCCTTTCTCAACCTGTCGTGTCTGGGAAGGGTTTCCACTTATGAAGCATACGAAACATGAGAAGGCAAAACAATTAGCTAGCAAACAGCTTTTTATTTATTCACTACTGCGTCATTAACTACTAGAGAGAAGTTTAGCACGGTCTTTTCCAGTTGTCTAGAGGTAGTTATATCTAAGATGTATCTTCTTTAATATTTTTAAAATGATCTTTAGTTAATAAGTCCTCGCTTCATATCCCATGTGCAATGATGACGCGAGGTGGCGTCTTTTTACAGCTTAGACCAGAATTAATTTCCATTTATCTCTCATGAAATTTTGGTAGTCCCAGCATAGTTAATTGAGTGGAATGGTTATGAAACCCGTCAGACTCCTTTGCTATATGTTTTTGTGGACCTGAAAGTGCACAACGTTCAAAAGAATTCCTATCATTTTGATTGTATTGACCAACAAAAACGTTGCATTAATTTATTCCCTAACAATTAGCCAACAGAAAACAAAGGATTGTGCACTTTCAGGGTGCTTCCAACATAAACTGCAGCACTGTTTTTTTTTATCATTGATGTTTGCCGCTTTTCATAACCAGTCTCCTCTAATAGCTATAGTCCCAGTGAGGTTTACTGAAAAACAAAGCCCTAATTTGCACAAGAAAGGAAAAGCCTGAGAGATTCTCGACTAGCAGTAAGTAAAAGTACGCCACCGTACAAGAGCATGTGACAGGTTATCAATGTCATTAACTTGTGCCTTTAGTTGTCAATGAAACTCTTATGCTAATATAGTAAAAAAAAAAAAAAAAAAATCAGGGTTCAACCTTGTGTGGTCAACTCTTGTTATTAAGGTCACTCTCGGGGCCCCGAGTTAGTGTCGTTGATAGTAAACAAAAGTCCGCAATGGGAAGGGATTTAATTGCTGTTCTTATTGCCGAGGAGCCCGTAATAGCAGGGTCTCCGCAAGACGAGAGTTGACAGTACCCATAGTCCTTACATCCATTTCACTCCCGATTTCACAGAGTGCTTCCCTTGACCGATCAAAAAAAAAAGTAAGCAGTTTCTTACCCCGCAGTCCCCACATCTTAACTATACCATGTTGTCCATCGTAGTTTATTTAGCAAATGCATGCCGTTGTTAGACTCAGTAATTAGCATTCAGTGATGTGTTCTTTCCGTTAACATAATATGTTTTAGAGTTTTTTCTAAGCTTTCATTGACATGATTTTTTTCTTGTTTTTGCTCGAAATTTGCATGCAAGCGGCGCAAGGACCAAGTCTCACTCCGCGGAAGGACTGGTTCCAAGTTAGACATTTTTTTCGAGAGATGTGTTTTTTTATGCCAGTTGCATCAAGAAGTTTTGTAATCCGCCTGATTTAAGTCATTTGTGAAGCCTTTTGTGAAGAGTGTCATTAGAAATTAGGTCGCCATTACATAATAAAAATGTTTACGTTATAAGCACTATAATCTGCAAAATGGCTTAAAAGTAGTACTTTATGCTATCTCACTTGTTCTTTCTTTGCTAAAGTTATTATAAACAGATATTGATATTGAAGTTACAGTGTAACTAGTCTTCTTTTTAGATGGTTACTTTGTTTTTACAATTAAGCCTACTTTAGTAAAATGATAGAATATGTTTACATATAGACTTTGTTTGCATTTGTGTCTAGTTGGTGCCACAATAACGTAGATAACATCTACCCCCAGTACCACTAAGGTAGTACACGTAATATGAACCACAAGTTCTCACTTTGATGCTTGTTGAGTAAGTATAGCAGGAACCTCAATTGAAATAAACCGTCCTGGTGGCCTGACCGTCCGTTACTGAGGGGTGTCCACCATATAGCCAGCCGCTACAATGAGTACCACACCTCAGGTAAGATGTACATGATGTTGCCATTCTTGTGCCGGAAGACCCCTGGAAACGGAACCATCCAGGGCCGAGACCGCTATCACAATAATAGTAGTAGCTGTTATACGAAGTTCTTCGGGTTCCATCGTTGAAACTCCCGTAGTTCTGACATTCTGGCACAGAAGAGAAAATGAACAACAGTCGGTAGGCATTGGATAACTTTTTTAGTAAAGTCTAACTTTGCAACGTTTCATTTACTGTACATCAGCTCCGGCAAAAACAAACAGGAACTTTTCATGTGATTGTCCTAAATTCTCCACCACACCTTCACTTATGACAAACACTAACAACACAGGAACAAAACACTACATATTAGCCATCAGCGGTATCGACATAACTTGTGCTAACAACGGATGAGTTATCCCACGCCTGTTAAATACGACGTTAAATCATTTAAAAGGAAAACATGGATACGGCCTGTAGCTTTGACGAGTGACTCCCTGGGAAATGGGATCGTGCATATGTAGCAAAATGTTTGCATATTTGATAATAATTGACCATAATTGCTAATTAACTGCGGATAACGACAGTTGTAAGCATGAAGGTGGTTCAATACTGACATTTTCAAAAACGTGCTCAACTAAAACCTCATAAACTACTTTCGCGTGGATTCGCTACATTGAGTTTTTTTCTGTGGCAATTCAATCGTCAAAAGACTGCTAACTCAGAAAAGTTCTTTTCTTATGAGCGCACTAATAGGCACTATTAGTATAATTATTTATACAAGGTCGTTTATGCTGAAAACGTAGTTTCGAAATCCATTGAGCAAGGATGGCCCGATATCAACTAAGGGTCAGCTATTCATAACGTAGGCCAAATAAGTCCAATTTAAGAGCCATTATTTTAGCAAGTTAAAAACAGACGATAAAGCACAAAAAGATTTGTTTGGCGGGCGCTATGATGAAAAGCCTCTTTCATGACCAAAGTCAAGAATACTACTCGAAGGAATTTTAAAACAAGAATACCATCAAAATAAAAATGAAAGACGACAGTACGGTAGAAAAATCAGACAATTTTTCCCGCAACGATTAATATGACAATTGTTCGACTGTACATGTGACTGAGAAACTGATACTCTTTACTCGCGTATAATTTCATATATTATAAGTATATTTGTTCTAATTCGTATTGTCAATCTTTTCGGATTTTCGCGTTGGCTAGCAAGTCTTTAGAGTTAGAGACTGCAATCGCCAAACTTGAGAAAGTCAACTCGCCTTAAAGTAACTGTAGAAATCGCATTAAAATAGACTTGCTGATCATGACAAGACGAGCGGTATACTGAAGCCCTCTCAAGCCGGACCGTTTCTGGCACGACTATTCGCTCACAATAAAAAGCAAAAGTATTCTCCGTGACCAGTGACCACACGGTGGTCGACAGTCTCCAAAGCCATCTTTTCAAATCCCAATAAAAGTTAATAGTAAAGCACTGTTTAAGAAGTCGAAACCAGCGCAAGGTGCATCGATCACAAGTGATTTCGGGTTTGTTAACTGAACATCTTCCTCGTTACCTGAAGGTAGATTGCAAGTTCGGCCATTTCCGCTGGAAGGATTATTACATGCACAACTAAAGGATCCCACTGTGTTGGTACAAGAAGCAAGTGAACTGTGACAGTCATCAGTACCGCTGGTGCACTCGTCAATATCTGGAAACGGAAGAATAACAATATGTATAATCACGCCCATTTTGCAAAGAGGTGGCAGAAGAGAACGAAAAAGGAATAAAATAACATAAGCATGATTTAAAAAAAAAAAAAAAAAAAAAAAAGGGTTAAAAAATCGTTGCACTTACATTGGGTGAGTTTGTACCGTCTTGAAAAGCTGTATTTACTCAAGGAATACGAAGGGGGTGGAGCAGGGGGGTGCTTTCGCCTAGGGCTCCTGAAAAGCATCGTAAAGGCCCGTCTTCACAGGCGATTTTCCGATTTTAGGCCCGTGTAAGCTAGCCGCTAAGAGGGCAAGCGTTCATTTCATGCGCTTTATGGAGACCGCTGCATGAATAAAGGTCATGAAGAGTCGTAATTGAATCGCCATAAAAATTAATCTTAAATCGCAGCTTAGATTAATTGCATCAAACGTCGCAGGTTTTAGCAAGCGATCTCACAACCTCATAAAGGCTGATCAATTGTTGTAAATTGCTAAGCAAGAAGTCGGGCTATTCGCAACCTGCTATATTGGAAAGAAAAACGAGAAACGCAAAAATTTCCAGTGGGGTTTTCCTTTGTCTCCTAGCCCTAATTCATGGTCAATAATTAGGGTTAGGAGAGAAAGAAAATCGTAGCCTGTTCCAGGCTCCAAGATAGTTGGGTCCGCACAGGCTAAGGAAATCGAGGATCAACCTGGGTTAGAAAATCTCAGTTTAACCTGAGTTTAAATTTCACATGTAACAGCTTTTCCAAGAATCCAGTACTCTAAGTTTTTGCCTATTCAACAAGATATATAATTGTAAAGTAATAATGATTGCTGGTTCCGCTGTTGTTGTCGTTGTTGTTGTCTGACCTACCAAAAACCTTTTTCGTCTGCACGCGAGTAAACCAGCTTTCAAGAATCAAAGATATTATTTCCTTTCTTCTAATATAAATCACCTTTAGAAAAAGTTCAAAACGGCTCACCAGTGCATGTTCTTCCATCTCCTGAGTATCCTGCTTTGCACGCGCATGCATAGGATCCCATAGTATTGTTGCACGCCGCATTGATGTTACAGCTATGGGTATTGGCAGAACACTCGTCGAAATCTGGAAGAATGTAATGAAGTCGTCCACACGAATCCGCATATTTTTCAAACCGCATATTTTTTTAAACTAATCGGCCTTTCGTCCACCCGAAACCTTGAATATGCTCACCGAAGCCGCATCTTTTTTAAACCGCGCTCCAGAGTTGTTTAAGGCCTCTTCCAACGAATACGGGGAAAAATATGCGGTTTCCGGGGTCTCAGTGGAGTCAGGAGAAACGGTGCAACTGACTTTCCCTGGGTCTCCGAGGATGCCTTACAAGTCCTATCTTTGAGGATAACTGCAAACATCTCTCAAATTGGGTAGCTGGTTATGAAGAATTAGCTGGGGGATATTTAAACCAATCAGAAACGCGGAAGTATTTTGAATTTATAAGAAGATTTTTATTCCAGTTTACACGGTGGCGAGTCCGGCTGAACTACAGCACGTAATGCGTCACTCTAAAAGATCGTTATGGATAAATCTAGCGAATGGCCTCTCTTACGTATCGCATACCAGCTTTTGATGTTCATAAAATATTTTATGGGAAGCAAGACAGAGTGACCAGTTAGAGAAGTTTACACAGCATAGATTTCTAGTTGTTGTTGTAGTAGTTGGCGTTGTCACGATCTATCCTGGTAGCGGCCATTTACTTTGGCTAATTCGATTTAGACTGCTCATGTATAGTCCCCTATTTTTTCGTAAGATTGTGGAGATCGAAGACCTTGCATTGTGGGCGGCCATCTTAGTTTCATGCATGTATGTACCGAGGGGGCGGGCGTCGTGGTTTATAGCCGTGGGGGGAGAGAGGCGAGAAAACTGTCCTCCTGTAACGCGAAGTCTTCGATCTCGACGGTCTTACGGAAAAATAAGGGACTGTGACAAGTCTAATTTGATTTCCCAGAAGAAACAGAGATACATATATTCGTTGCACTTTTTACAACTTACCAGTGCATGTCCTTCCATCTCCTGTGTATCCTGCTTTACATGCGCATGCGTACGATCCCACGGTATTGTTACAGACCGCATTGGCGTCACAGCTGTGAGAGTTGGTGGAGCACTCATCGATATCTGCATGAGAAAGTGGAATCGCACAAGGCTTAAGAGTCACGGAGATTATATCTACCTGATAGTTTACATCTGGTCGCCGGTCTATGTATTTTTTTTTTTTTTATCTGCGCAACAAAGTAGGACTGACAGTGTCAAACGTTAGTTTTACGCTGCATAGGAATTGTACCTTTTTTCACACGAACCAAATATTTTTAAGAGCCATATTTTTTGTTTTCACACGAATCGGTATTGGCCTCCACACGAAACTAGTGAATCCGCTCACCGAAACCGCATCTTTTTAAAACTGCTCAGAGTGGTTTAAGACCCCGTTTGCACGAGTCTGGGTAAAAAAGATAATTATCTGACTCGTGTGGACGTGCTTTGCCTCAATTATTATCTAATATACCATTGTAAGGTTTTCCATCTCCTGTGTACCCGGCATTACACGAGCATGTGTATGAACCCACGGTATTCTGGCATACAGAATTGACGTCACAGGAATGGGAAACAGTGGTACATTCATTCAAGTCTAAAAGGGAAAATCACACAGTGTAGAGAATAAACACTCTTTAGTCTTACGGGTGAACCGTCAAGAGAAATAAAATGCGGGGAAAACGTGACTCGCAAAAAGGATCTTAAAAAGCTTGCCTTGCGGAGCTCATATTCGTTGAGCCATTTACAAAAATGTTTCTTTTAAAAACAGGTTTCGTTTCGTCCCTGTGGAAAACATAAAAGAAATGGAAGCGCGCCTACAAGTCTACGTCAGAGTTAACGTGAACGAAATGTTTCAACGGAATCTCGTTTTCTATTTCTTCAAACTCATCTTTGGTACAGATTTCAGGCTTTGTGGACATTTTCTTTGTCGGTAAATGAGAATGATTTGTGTAAATGGCAAACGAGAATCTGCAACGAAATCTACCAGAGTCTTTGGTTTACTAATGATTAATGACAATGTTTTCAAAACAAAACCACTCAAACTTTTTCAGTCAGATTCTGATTTGTTTCAATTTTTTTTTTTTCTGATAGGTCTTTCTTTATTGTAGTTGAATGCAGGCTAAAACACAAAAAGGGTCACAAAAACATAATTATTTCTTATCTTGGTACCTAACCAATATTATCTCATGTACCTTTAAAACAAGTGTAGTTATATTGCGATGCGAACACAACGTTGTGTTTTTTTTTAGAATTTTTTCTTAAACGTTCAAAGTTGCTGCCATTTTGGCACACCATTGGTCTTAGTCTTCTCACTGAAATCCCCCGGGAACAAAAGAGATGTGACGTAAATTAAGGAACTATGACGTAAATTAAGGAAAACGTAACTTTAGATGCAAGAAAACATGTGTGGAGCCATGTTAGTTCAATCATGTTTTAGCACAAGTCTTTTTATCACTGAACCACTTCCTACAGATTATAATCATTATTAGTTTACTGCCATGAAAGCAAGCTCAACAAGGATCACAAGCTCACGATACCGTTCCACACCTCTAAGTTTTAGCAGCCACTGACTCACCTCAACCCAAGCGGTTATGGAGTTGTGCATTGGATCCTGCCCTCCCCCACTGGAGGTGTGATTCGCTGATACAAATACACTTGGGGCATTCTTGTACAATTTGGTAAAGGAAATATCCTAATAAAAGAACATACAATGAATTTCAAAATCGATGAAAAGAGCCGTCAAATTAACGAATGGTGAAAACGTGACATAAAATAAAGCTAAGCGAGATACTATTTATACTGACCTTGCAGAATGCGTTATTATTCCAGGCTGCAGGCTTCTGAGAGTTTGCAAAATAAATTGAGCTGTGTTCTGAGAACATGGGCTTGTCAAGTGACGAAAAAGCCAACCAGTTCTACGAAAAGAGAAAAAAAAAGAAAAAGAAAAATGGAAAGAAAGAGAAAATTCGCTACATTATGTAATTTGACACAACTCAACGCGCAACAAATGTAATACTGAGAAAAGGACGTAAGAAGGCAAAAAATGAAGTATGCTACATACGACATAGATGTCCTCATGTGAGCCCGCATAATTTTGTAGTTCCCTTAAACATATTTTAAAGGAAGATCGCGTGATATCCTCCAACCAAATACTGGCGGCGTCTCTCTTCAGTCCGGCATGGTGATGTGCAACGGTCACAAAAACTGAAGGCTCCTTTGGAAACTAGACCCACACAGAAAAAATTACTTGTATCAAATTTTCTAAGCAAGCCATGTTGTGAATAAAAGTTTAAATCTATAACTTTTAAATAACTTATTTTATAATAATCAATTAATTAATCAATTAAAACACTTCCTTGCTATAGGTAGTAACAAAGACAAAGTGAAGAAGGCGTTTCGTACTAGTTTTTCTTCAAACAGGTAACGTCTCATAGGATTAGCTTAAAACACGGAGGCACTATGTTTAAACTGGGAATTGAGGTCCACACATCTGTATTTTGTCTGCATGTGTACTTTAAAAACAGTTGTCCGGTTTTCATGTGTTATGACCGCATAATAAAAAAAGTATCTGTCTGTTAGTTTTGAATTGGATGTACCATGACCCGAACTGTGAGCACACCCTCTAACATGGTGTGTATATTGCCGGAGCGAGACTTTTATTTTTTGTGTGTGTGTATGCTGACGTATTGTAGTGCAGCATTTGATCCTTTTACAAAAAAAACATAAATAAATAAATAAATAAATAAATAAAAATTCTACCAAGGGAAAACAAAACCAATGGCGAGGGTGACACAACAGAGCGAGGCTTCAGTTAAAGTGGGCCACTAAATCTACTAAATTATCCAAAAAACAGCTAAAAAATTGATATTTATTATTTACTAAGAAGGTTAAAAAATATCATGAGTATTAAAAAAACATTAATTGTAACTCTAGTAACAGCATATATTACTTCATATGATGTTACGTGCAACGCAGCACTTGGGGCAGATAAATTTTCACGTGCTGAAAATGTTGACGTCGTAAAGTTTAGCCCAGGCACGCTGTTCGTGTCCATTGAGCTCAGGGACTTGACGAATTTGTATTTATTGAGATTAAAACAGAGCAGATAGATGCTGGTAGATAATTCCATAACTAATTGGTAAACGATTAAATAACTAGTTTAAAACAATGTAATGCGGCACTTAGAAATTGACAGATCTAAAACTAAGCTGCTGTACAAAATCATTATGACAGATACTGTAGTGACCTAATCGGCATCTGAAGTAGAATTGAAAAGACGATCATTGATTTCATAACAAAAGAAAAAAGGAAAAGGCAAGAGGTTCAGTTTAATAAGCCTCAACTGGCAGCTGGTAGATTCCGTTCAACTCAAGTTTAACATAAATTTTGTAGCTTTTCATTGAAGACTTTCAACTTTAGAGATGTTTCCTATAGACTGAGGTGTCCAGATCTCACCAGCACAATTCAGGGGAGATCTGTCGAATGCAAGGTACAAAAGTCTTCTGGCGTCTGTCAGTGTCAAAATCGCGGCAGGTGTGTCTTCGAAGAAATCCTAATGTTCAGCAACACTGTACTTATGAGATAACATTGTTTATGTGCCGTATCCACGTAAGGTCACCAGTAACCGTTACTCCAAAATCTTTTTGCGAGGTTACAGGAGACAGTGCATCAAATCCAATTAAATTTTATAGTCGAAATAGACTCGGGTTTCGTTTGCGTGGAACGGATCAACTTCGCATTTAGAACTATTCCACAGTGCATAATTAAAGAAATGTACCGAATTTATGCGAAGTAACCCCACGGGGCTTATTTGAAGGCAGTGCTTAATACCATAATAACACCGTTTAGTACCGAAAGAGTTAACTACATTTAGGGCAAGTTGTTATTACATTTAGGACAAAATATTTTTACGTTTACGACTTTATTACATTTAGGCCTTGGCCAACTTGGATTTAGAACGATGTTAGTAATTAGCGACCTTAAGCATCGACGACGAAATCGGACTACGACGCCGACCGGAATTGAATGAAATTTTGCCGCGCGAACCTGTATAGCGGTTTAAAGTTGTCAAAAAGTCGTTAGGCCTTCGTCGATGACGAAATTCAGGGAAGTTAGCCGTCGTCGCTAAAACGTAGGTATAAAACTATACTTTTTGCGCGTAAATCACCCTTTTTCTCCCTTGTCATTCAGTGCAACCAGGCAAAACTTTAACAAACCAAGATAATAATAAATAAAGTAAAAGCACATTTTAGAGAAGTGGAAAAACAGGGGCACCCAACGAGAATATAGTTCAAAACCACTTAAACATAGCATTGTTAAACGTATTTTAGCATTTAAACGGTAGATATAGGCATATTTTTATCCCCTAAAAATTTTTCATCTGTTCGGATTTCCTAGCTGAAAGTCTAGTGATCCGAAAATTATAGGGATCAAAACTTACCTTTTCGAACATTTCAGCCAGAAAAAAGGCTCCCGAAAATTCTAGGTGATCTTTTTAGGGTAAAAATCCGTTAAAAATAGGCAATTATACCATTTTTTAGATGTTCGAAAATCCTAGGAGAGGCAGGCAAGCAAGCAATTTTGCAACAAACGTTTCGAAAATTCTAGATCTCAAATCGTCTTCCGAACAGATATTCTTCCGAAAATTGTCGTTGGGTGCCCCTGGAAAAAATCGCTTACTGAAGGAAAACGCACTGTCTTGCATGTTGTTCCAGTCCACCACTGTGACATGCGCACCTCTCCACTTACCCCACCTTCTGGGGCTCCTTGATAAGCTATCCAGTCTATGGACACATTAGCACGGGACCTGCGCTCGTTGAAACCAGCCGCCATCACGCACGCAGTGAATTGTTCGTAGGTCACATCTTCAATCCACGACACAGCAGCATCGTGGACGTAATTCGTGTCCCTTGTATCGATGTGATTGACAGTTACCTGCACTTGAACGGGTTTATCAGGGTAGAACATAAATGGTCGGAAACCAATTACTTCACAGTGAGAGTATCCCAAGGAAGGTATATGAGGCATGTGACGCCGGTCACGCTGTAATGGGAACCCTGCAAAGTAGTACAAAAATGCAAATGTAAAGAAGAAAAAAAAAAATGAGAGAGTTCGAGTTATGATGAGGCGATTTGTCTCGAGCTCCTCTTTAGACAAGATTATAAATATTTTTAAAGTCATAAACTGTTCACCTTACTAAATGACCTCAGTTTTTCACATTTTACGTTACTAAAACGACGCATTTTTTCCTTTAATTAAATCGTGTCACCGTAAAATTTCCTCGTTTGTGCTTTTGCTATAGAAATATGTTCAGGGATCAGCTTCGCTTTAATGACCAGTTTATACCTTTAAAACGAATTTCAACTGGTACTGATGATAGAGATTCAGAAGATGTGATATCGATACGTTGTTAGTGAAGACTTTTTGACGTTTCTTTTTTTAGGGGTTGTTAATTTGGGTGATTGAATTAAATGGCAATTGATACCATAAATTACGAGATCACTGATACCTTCACAGCTCCCAGGATGCTGCACAGTAAAGTTCAACTGTAACAAACACATTTCCTGCTTAAAGAAACACTTGTTGTCATACGTCGTTCCGTTAGAAGAACAGATAGGCTCTTGATAAGATGGGCAACTGTCTATAAACACGCAGCGGGCATCGCATGGTCCAAGAGCTTTGCATAGACCATGATAACCACAGTGTACGCCATCTATACAAGGATCCAGGTCTGTGTAAAACAAAAGATGCATAATTATCATTAATTTTGTTTACATAATATATCTAACGGAAAGCGCTTATACCGAGATTTGGATTTGGTCTATAAGAGTATTGTTGTTGTTCACGCTGTTTTTTTTTGCTTTTATTTTAATTTCAACGAAGTTTTACCGAAAATAGCGAGGGAGAGAAAGAGGAAAACAGTGAGGTGAATGATCGATGCTATCATTCTTATTATCGGGAATTCATGTTGAGCTGACGCTTATAAATTAAACACCGTTCTTCTATCTAACGGATCTGTTAGTGTTAACGAGACAAAGCGACAATATTAGTCTTTACACTAGAGCCTAAATTAGCTAAGAAATAATTCAAGAGAAGTAGATTTTAAATTCTTCAAGTAAAAGGGGACAAGTGTATGGAACAAGTCCTAAATGACTTATTGCGCTGAAACGGCATTACTTGACATCAAAGCGGGAGGTCGTATGATTTTTTTTTTTTTTGCCGTGCACCGTATGATCTTCTAAATCCTAAAAACCTCAAAAAAAAAAATAATAATTTAGCTGTTCTCTTTGAGTTTTTTTCATAAATGGTCGCAAAGTTATCACATTAGTGGTTAAGTTTTTTATTACATTAAGGGTTAGAATGTTATCACATCAGTGGTTAACTTTTTTTATTACATTAGTGGTTAGTAATACATTAGTGGCCGATTATTACATTACTGGGTGATATACTTACCTCCAGTAATCAGATAATCGACTTTTATGGTATCCTTGCTCTTAGTTTCATAGACTCGAACACAAATCTCTGTTTTTGCGGTGGACGTGTGCTAAGGGTAGAAAATCGAGATTGCTAATAACATTATTACTCGAAAGCAGTGTTGAAAATTTTGCTAAACAAACGATCAAAACGTAAAGGTAATGAGAAACTTTTACGAAAACTGCACGGTTAACCACAGATATAATAACTTGTTTGAATGTTTAGGAATCAGTAAGAGGACTCGTATCTGCTAAAGAAAAAGTTGATTTGGTTTGAAAATTTTATTCATCCTCCAATTCCTTTGAACCGGTTGTCACTGTCACTCCATCAAAAATGGAAATCGATTCTGTGTGATAAAGAAAGTCCAGAATCTGGGAAATGAAAGAAGATAAATAAATAAATATATATATATAGAAAGTAAACTTCTGTGTCGAATGAAGATACTAAAAAAAATGAAAAACGAAAGTCTTCTTTGCTTTAGCGCAAAAGCAAAGAAGACTTTCGTTTTTCATTGTTTTTAGTGTATATATATATATATATATATATATATATATATATATATATATATATTTAAACAACCTTTGCAAGGACTCAGGCCTTTGTGATATTTCCTGTTATGCGGAAATACTGATACAATTTTTTTCCCAAATTTACAGAGCTTGATGTTGATGTTCCTCTGAGGGACACCAATATAGAGGTCAGAAACCAACAAAAATGTCTGTTTTTGCGATGGCACAATCTCAAAAAAAGGGAGACAATTTTCTAACCCAAATCACAGTTTTCTAGGCCCTTCCAGATCCTTCAAATGCAGCGTTACGCAAAAGGTTTATTTTTTAAAAAAATTTATCAGTGTACTTTATCACTGACAAAACAAAGAGCCCTTTCGATCAAACAGTTTGTAAAAATATGGGTTATGCTTCTCTATAACTGATGAATTTGTATGAGTTTTGATGAAGTCACGTGAAAACCACCAATAATAGATACTAGCGAGGCGTTAAACCTTGTGAAAAGATTTCCTTACACTTTCTGTCTTTCCCTTCAATATGGGATTTCTTTCCTTTTATCACTGCATGGATTGATCATATTTATTAAGATTCAACGTTAAATTAATCTTTTGCTATCTGTAAGTTTGTAAAACAATTTTACCTCGACCCAAGCGGTGATTGCGTTACATCCAGACAAACGCGAATCGTTGTTGATACTTTTTGCCGTCACTATCACAACAGGAGGAGCATAGAATTGATCTGTAAAGTTTATATTCTGTCGAAAAAAGATTAGCTTGTTACAAACATCCTGAATGGCAAAACATGCGAATTATAAGTAAAATGAACAAATGACTTTAACAAGCAAGTTTCGACTTGTTTTTAATGCACAATGCAGAATACTCAGAACGACTAGGATTAGTTGTTTATTGGTTCTGCTAAAAAGGAACATCATCCTGCCTTCGATTTTCTTAATGAAAATAAATTTCAGTGCTCCATTTACCAACATAACAATTTACTTTAATACCTGGCAAAAGGCGTAGTTAGCTTGCTGAGACAACAAGTTATAATTTGTAAACAAGAGACTGTCAGTTAATGTGAAGTTTCCAACCCTAAGGTTTGTATAAGCCATCCAGTTCTTGAGCAATGAAGAAACAAATCATATTTATTTTTAGAAATTTGAAGCCGTCTTTGCCATATGATGTTACTAAATCAGGTGTCCGCTATTAAGCTGAAGGGGGGGGGTTGGGGGAGTTAGCAGCACGCCCTCTAAAACTTAAAAACCGCATCATAATAATTTGCTCAACATATCTAACATCTTGAGATAAACTGACCGACAAAATTATGTAATGTGACTTCAGCTTGAATATAATAGAGAACACTTAAATGGGAAGGTGTCTGATTAAATTGCCAAGTAGGCTAACACTGATTAATGCCCTTAACAACAGAAGTGATAGCATGATGAACAGGAGGAACTGGAACTTTTAATTGGGCGTGCATCTGTAAGAAATGAGAGCATTTCAATCCAGTTTCGTCGATGGAGTGTTCGAATTCAACTCCACTATCGTGTCATTAAGAAAAGGCTGAAGACATTTGTCCCACTAAAGAATATTTCTAACAACTTCGTAGCGATAAGCCTTACCGATATTGCAGAGTCTATCTTGTTGTCAATTCAAATAAAACTAACTGAACACCAGAATTGCAGGTCTTAAATAGACACCCTTAGGATATTTGAAGAATACATTTTCACTGTTTGATTGATTTTGAGCAAGTTAAATGTATTTGTTTTGATTATTTGTGTGTAGAAGAATATTCTGAAAGCAAACTTAATGTGCCAGCAATAAAATTCAGAGGGAAATGAACATTCTTGGAAAATTATTCTCAACACTTCTGTACATTAATTTTCTTCAAATCCACATCTTTTATCAAATAAGAGCCCCAAAAACCTTGATTGCTTTTTTACAATTTCTCTTTAAAACTTTTTTTATCATTTACCTCAATCAGAAAATCTAGAAAAAAAGAAAAAAAAAGCATGATAGTGAAAATTCCAAATTTTACAAAATATGGCTGTCAACAATCGGTGGCAGAGGACACTTTGACACTGGGGACAAATGTTTCCAGACAAGTTTTAGAATGATCGCTAAGCTTGGTACTCATATAAGCAGGAACCTTAAGTTTGGAGCCTGGCAAAAGCCCCTTCCCCGCGGTCTGCATAACACTAAAGTTTTACGGAAGAAGGAACCTGATTTCAATTCATTTAAACGAGTACTAAAATATAGCTCATTAAATCGTTTAATTACTCATACCAAGGTTCAAGCTAGAAAGCGTTCCTGCTGAAAGTTCCAAAGCAGTAAATGGTAACAGAAATATACTTGGGGAATGTATTTTTACTTCGATGTTTTACCAAATTCGAAATTACATATTAAAAAGAACTGGGCTTAAAATTTTGGCATATTTATTTTTTGCTATAACTTAATACGTAAGAATTTTACAAATCTATGATAACTTCGACCATTTTTGTTGTGATTATGATAAACTTAAGAGCAAATAAGCGTCTTTGGGCAGCTCATTGCAGAAAAAAATAATTGAATGGAAATCTTAAAACATCTTTAAAAAGCAATTTCAAATTTCAAACTCACAATAGCAATGCCTTTGTGAAGTCCGTCGAAAATCTTTACTTCCCTGAGGCAGATTTTGAAACTGTCCCCAGTCAATTCCTCCACCCAGACTGCCATGGCGTCTTGAGGTCTCTCAGGAAACTGGTGACTAGGAGTTGCAAGTAAAGTTGGAGAGGTCAAAAAACGCTTTAAATAAAAAAAAGAAGAAAAATGGATTAGTTAAAATTGAACAAATAATAATATTACTATAACAACAACAATAATAATAATAATACTATAATATTATTATAGTGCTAAAAATAAGGAGAAAATTTTTTCCGAATTACAAATAAAAGAGCACTGAAAATTCTAGACAGAGGAAAGTGACACACACACACAAAAATGAGAGCTAGAATGTATTTCCGTATAGTACCGGCTCGCACACCACGCTTGAAGAACAACGTTATCAAATTCTTTAACAAAGGAAAGGCCAAAAATAATAAATCATACACGGTGACTGACTGTAAAATCTCTTTGTTTTGCAACCTTAATATTTCTAAATTAAATTCATTTTAACTGAAAATTTACAACAATTTAAACAATGTTTGATGCCTTCCTTGTAATTGTTTTATAAACTAATAGATAAGATAGCAATTGGAAACTAACTTTACCATCATAAAGACCAATGTTTCATTGCTTATATTTAAGACTTGTTATATGTGAATGCAAGTGTCAGTGTATGACGGATTATATGGGTAGGTATAAGTGTATTTCATGAAGAGGACATCACTCTTCGGAATAGTGGGAGCTGGTGTTGCAAGGTTGGCTGGTTAAGTTTAATACACCCTGGAGTCCTACATAACCGTGCAAACGTCTTGTGGTTGGAGGGGGCAGGGAAAGGTGTTACACGAATTTTCGCTTTCTTTGTGGCTCGTATTGTCATTGCGAGAGTTGGTGAATTGGTAATTGCACGGATTAGTAGGTTATTTCACGCATAAAAAAAAAAAATCGATCAACTTAGAGCGTAGCGTCAACCAAAAAATTATTTGTGCTTAATATTTCTTTATTCAAATGCGTTGCAAATCGATCATTATGTGTCTGTTATATAAAGTTAAAGAACTTCTGTCGGATAGGAAAATGATTCTACAGAAGTGAACACACGTCCAGCGTTTGAACAAATAATTGCATGATGAAGGGTTAGGACAACGTTTTTCAACATCAAAGGAGGTATGCATTAATATGTTCTTTGCGTTTGAGCCAAAGAAAATGTTTGACAATAATATTCACAGGTTGAAAAAAGGTGTTTCCGTTTCCGTTTTTGTAACGGTTATCTAACGGAAACCTGAATATCCGCGGACGGAATTGTAACGGGGAACACGTGTATCCGTCATGTTTCAGTTTCTGCGGACACGCTTAAACGCATCCCTTATACTCGCGTTTCCGTCAGGTTTACTCTTGCGGAAACGCTTACTGCCGTCATGTTTCCGCAGCTCGTAAATTCAGAGGATACTCAATTATCCGTTGAGTTTCCGGAACAATGAATGCGGAAACTCAGTTTGACCGGTTTACTTTCTGCAGCCTTCATGTTTCCACAGATTCCGCTTTCGGTGGATTATTCACTGGATTTCCTAAATGTGTTAACTTTCCTTAACCACCCAGTTTCGAATCATATGTTCATTCTATCCGGTATATAAAAAAGTGGACGTTTGTGAGACAACCCTGGACCGTTTCATGCATCCACAATGACCCATTTTCGCTGATACACACAAATCAAGCTGAGTCATATTTAGGTGCATTTTTGGTATTAAAGTTTTTATTAAAATAATTCTATCTCCATTTTCATATAATATGTACATATGTATATTAAATATTTTCACAATAAAAAGAGACTCCTTACAATGTATTCCTATTTTCTATATCCAAAACTGTAACTTTTCAATTTTAATAGGCCACTTCCGAGTTCCAAAAACCCTCACTTTCAAAATGAGGCGAGGTGCGCAACCTTTCTTGTGAAATGAGTTTTATTTGCACGAGAATGAAAAATGATTTCCATATCAAAGGCTGAGCACTTAACCTCGTTTTGAAACAGAGGCCCTGGGAACTCGGAAATGGCCTATTAAATAATCCTTTTAGAATTGACAAAATTCAAAATTTTTTCCTTGAAATGATTAGATTAACATAATAATTATACAGTCTAACCTCTTCTTATGGACACTTCTATACGACGGACAGTTCGTTTGGTCCCAGAAAAGCCAAAAATCATGCAATCCCTACCTCTGTAATATAGACACCTCTATAAAGCGGACACTTGGTTCTGTCCCTTTAGTGTCCGTATTAAAGAGGTTTGACATTATTATAAGTAACGTGCATTTCCATTCCAAAATAACTCAAAGAAGTAGTTCACGGCAAAATTATTACATAATTTAATAAGAAAAATAATATTATTACAAATGAAAGTCTTACTTAGTTACATGTAAGACTGCATAAAATCCCATTAGGAAATCTAAACTGCTGCCTTAATTCTTATTAGCAAGTACCAGTACTTGGTGGATCATCCCCAAAAATTATTGTTAAAGCCTACACAAACTGATGAGAGGCCATTATTGGAGAGTATCAGGCTGATGCTACAACGACGATAGTGATGCAAACAAAACTAGCCATAGGCTTTATATACAAATGTATAAGCCAACATCTCTACACATGTATCTCACTTATTGTCGCCAATCTGCTGTAAGTGCATAGGTCCTAGCTTTGAGGTCGTGGAAAGGGGGCAAACCACCTACCGGCATAGACTTACCACATGCTAGAGACTCTGGTCGAGTGGATTTATTCTATTTGGCTAAAATTATAATTACCGTTGCTGAGAGGAAGTAAAGCTTATATGTTAACACCCATGCGCTTCTTTATTTCACCCAATTGTCCCCCTCTGACTTTTTTGCCCTTTTGAAATAAAAAGGAATTCATGAGACGTTTAGTGGGTAAGTATCTTACTGCCAATTATATTAATTTATATATTCCAGTCGCAGTAGTTGATTACAGAAAAGCCAGTTGAAACTTAAAAACTTACAAATGCTCAATTTGTTTCTTTACCTTTTTCTTTCCTTTGATAGAGAACTTTTAACAGTCTATCATATATTTGGCTGACTTCTTTTATCAAGTTCTCGTGGTCAATTATTTTCATTGATTCAGCCGAAATCATCGTTAGATAATTGAGCAGGGTTAAGTCCCACTCCTTGAAGTACCAGATCATGCAATGATCATTTAATTATTTGGAGTTCTTTTACTTACACGAGCAAGTAGCAAACTGTCTACGCCTTAAAATTGAAATCCATTCGTATGCTCTCCATAAAATAATTCAAATCAGCCCTGTCAAATTATAGCGTGAGTGAAGTGAATACAAGGAAAGGCTTTTCTTACTGTCTGGATATAACTGTTTTTTTCAAATCCTTTTGTTTTTTGGGTATAAGCTTAACAAGAAGGGATTAGCGGACAATTCATTTGTACAATTTATCTTGTTCACAAATGAATCATCAAAGCTAAACGATAAGGTTTTAAAGGAAGTTGTGCCCTCAGAAATATTCTTTAATTATTACAAAAAAATAAATAAATAGCGAAATTAATTTTTATAACTTCAAGGTCACGTCTATCCCTGTCGACAGTTTTGTACAAAATGATCTTAAGCCACAGGTTACCCAGTGTGCCGACGGCCCTCTGTCCTGTTTTACCCGGTGTGGCGGCGGCCATCTGTCCTGTTTGTATGAGTTCAGGTTTATATGGAGTTTCAGCTTTAGAAAAAACTGATCTCTCGGATCACAAACAGTCTCATTTGCGAAACTTGAACAGAATTACATAGTTTACGTGCGTGCAGTGCCTGGTGTATTTGTCAGTTTGCACTACGTAACAGAGAAAATGACCTGCAAGTTAAGTATCTCGGCAAAATGACTCACCAGACAACCCTTACTTCAAGCTTATACAGCTTCTGCAAGAATAACGTAAAAGGTCTTCATAAATTGCAAGGGTTCTTTTGTTGGGTCTTACAGTAATTCTAAGCTGTACAAAGAGAAGCAGCTAGAATTATAATGAAACAAACTAAAAATTGACACAAACTGTTTTTATTGATCCATCATTTTAACAATGCTACAAACTAATTAATTGTAAGATTGCACCTACGGCTACGGGCACGTACAATAATGCCGATATGTCAACTTGTAGGATAAGTGCTTGTCAGTTCTATAAGCTGTTGGAAAAGTATGTCTGAACTATTGTCTAGTGTGAACTATTAAGCTAGGGAAGGACTTAAAACACGGAAAATGTAAATACAGATGGAAATTAAAAACTACTTTAGTGCAGCTAGAGGGTCGTATCATGTTTGAATTTGTTTGTGTAAATAACGGATTTGAATTAAGAAGGTACTTGGGATTCGGATTTAAAGTAAGAGTTGGACACTCAAGGCTTGTTTCCCCAAGCACCCGTCATTTGGAATTCTCTAAGTAGCACTAGTGCGTCGATAAAACCCGGAACACGGAACATTCCGGAACATCACGGAAAGTCCAAGAACATGAAAAAATAAAAGAAATTTTCATGAAGAAAATAAATAAAATGATAATGAAATAATTTTTGTAAAAATTAAAAAATAACATAACATAAAAACGAAAAACAAATAAAGAAAGAAAAAGAAACTGGTGTACCATCTCCGGCTCCGACTTCCTCGGCCTGTTTCACGACTCAAGACATGACACTGACAAGGTAAAACAAAACTAACGAACAAATAAAAACGGACGGCTCCTTTTCTTTCTATTTAGCTTTGACCCGGACACCTAACAAACGCATGCTGTAATAATCAGTGAATTTAGCTACAAAGTAGTGTTAACAATAATAATTAGTCGCATAAGCAAACCTTCAAGAAAAACTGCAACGTCACAGAGGACACCCAAATCACCGTGACAGTGGTGATCGCCATCCTCAATGCAATCAGGCGGAAAAAAAGAGGGGACTGTAAACTAGCTTGAATTTCAGCCGTCTCCTTGAGTCGCAAAGTCCTCTTGCGACTCGAGGAGACGTCTTTTAAAAATATTAAGCTAACTGTAAACAGTATAGAAGCTACTACGAATGTGAATATTGTCCCCTAGAATCCAAAGACAGCCCCCACCCCCAACTCCCTTAGTTCTTCTTACGTTCGCAGAGCATAGAGCATATAAGGATTTTCTATACCTTTTTCATTCCTTTTACAAACA